GCTGTTTTCAGTGATTTACTTATAATACTAACAATAGGAATATCAGATTATATTACAGTATATTGTTCTAGCAACTTACCTGTAGCAAGAAAACTTTGTAGGCATATTTTGGCTAAGGTTGCATGTCATTATTACTATAAAAAAGCTAATTATGATGTTTGGAACTATTCATATTTTGGTGATATTTCTAATATAGATTCCTAGTTTGTTGAACATGACCACAATCTTATCTGAAATGATGCAATAAGTTGAAAAAATTGTAGAACTACTGATCAAAGAAAACAGCCTATTTCTAATACTCTTGTTAGATGGTTAGAAATTTATAGGCTTTCATATTTCAACTCCATTAGATTTCTGATAGTAGACCCAATACATTGTCTTTTTTTGGGAATAGCAAAATGGATTGTCAAATTATAGATCAAAGATGGCCGGTTAATTTCTCAGAAATTAGAAACAATGCAACTATTAGCAAACAAAATTGATATACTATCAAATATTGGTAGAATTCCTTGCAAAATCTTTACTGGAGAAGGGTTTTTAAAATTTATAGCAGATTAATAGAAGATCTTTTTTCTCATATATGCTACTACAATTTGTTGAGATCTACTGTGTGATACTAATAGGAAACTTCTTACTTATTTTGTTTGAGAATGTAGTATATTAGTATGTAGAATCATAGATAAAAAAGATTTAGAAGAGGCTCATCAATGTTTAATAGCTGTACTAAAAATTATTGAAAATATATATAGTTCTAAGAAAATTATATCAAATCTTCATCTAAGCCTTCATATATGTGAATATGCTTTAGATTATAGGTCTTTAAATTCTTTCTAGTGTTTTAGCTTTGAACAAATAAATAGATTACTAGGTAAGTATAGTTAAAAGAGTAATAATTAAGCTTATGTTTTTAGGGTGGTGCGCATTTCGTCAACAATCACTTCACCGACAGCTTAGATCACTGACAATTAATTCACAGACAAGTTCATTTCACCAACATTTATTTCACCGACAACATTTCACCGACAAAGTAATTCAGACCATTGTTGTTAGTATCAGGTTAGAATTAGAGTTAAGGTTAGTGTAATTTATAAAAAATACTTGTCGGTGAGATGAGCTGTCAGTGAAATAATTGTCGGTGAAATGAACTTGTCTGTGAATTAATTGTTGGTGATCTAAGCTGTCTGTGAAGTGATTGTCGGTGAAATAACACGTATCCATGTTTTTATATTCTATATAATGTTTATTTATTTTTAAAAAACTATAAAAACAGTAATAGAAAAATTGAACCAGAACTTATAAATATAATTCAACGAAATAAACATATTGATGGATTAATTAGTAATAGTAATGATACTAAATTATTTGAAAATCTGTTTATTTTGAATCCAAGACCATCAGCTGGGAGTTTGGATATTTATGAAATATCTAATGAAGAAGCAATAGATTTTATTTCTATGTCAAAATTAGTAAAAAAAGAAGTCGGTACTGGTACAGGTTCTGATTCATTTTTTGGAACCTTTTTTACTCAAACAAAAATAAATACATATGTCTCTTGAGATTTTATGAAATTACTTACCAAGTATTATAATAATACTTATAAGACAGATATATTTGTTCTACCTGAAGAGTTGGAATCTAATAAATTAATAAGTGTATCTCCTATGATAAACCAATATGGAAGAATCAAATAAGTGAAGAAGTTTTTGGCTCTACTTTTTCAAAAAGATATGAAACTTCTTCAAAAATACTTGCAAAATTTATTGATAAAGGGGATGTAATTATCTATCCTGGCCAGATTCAATTTTTTTTTGAGCATTGTATTGATTATTCAGAAGAGTCAACAAAGCATAATCTTGCATATGTTCACTAGTACAAAAAAGTATGTGATCAAAAATTAAGGTATCATTTTAGTATTAGCAAAAATGATAATAGACTTTGTAATGTGAAATAATAGAATAATGATTTTTATAATATAAATTATAAATGTATAATTCCGGTGCATAATTCCAGTATATAACATATTGGAGAGATTTGTAGCTGCTCCTTTTACCATTGGTTCAAAAAAGTATCAAGATTATATGTCTGTAATTCCATTAAATAGGAAATATAATATGTAATACTTAGTAATTCATATATATATGTTATGTAAAAATCTGTAAATACTAGTAAATCAAATGTCAGGATAAATTATTATCCAAGTAGATATACTGTATGTTATGATAAATTATTATCCAGGTAGGTAGTTTACTTTTAAACAATGTTGGCAAATGACAAGGTCATAAAAATTTTTATGAAAATGATCATTATTTTAAATTGACAATATCATTTTTCCTAAAAATAAATTGTATTAAGTCTTGGCAAAATAACAAATCATTAAAATTATTTTTATAAATGACATCATAAATGACAAATAAATGACAAAGGTTTATTATTATCTAACACGATATATATATAGTTAGATATTATTAGTATAATAGATATATAAGTAAAAAAATTAGTAGTTTATTTTATTGACAATTAATTTACTAATTTTTTGTTTCAATTTACTAACAAAATAATTTTATTAATGATTTATCCAAGTTTATATTATAATAATCTCATAATATTATAAAGTTTGAATGCAGAATTAATTTTATGAATTTATATTACTAAAGATTCGTGATATACTGTATATTAATTAGTTATATATTTTATTGATTTTTATTGGTTAATAAAACTATATAACATATAAATGATATATAGTTATAAAAAATATTTTATTTTTTTTTATAACAAAAATGACTTGTCATATGACATGCTGTCATTTATTTTAAAATAACAATGTGCCAACACTACTTTTAAATAGATATATTGGTAGCAGCTAGCCAATATCTCTATAAATTATAATATAACTTTATTTTGATAGCCAATATCTCTAAATATATCATCAATATTAGACATCTAAATAGATATAATGTACATATATACATGTATATAAAACATAATAAATAATTATCTAAGCAGATCTACAATATTTAATATAGATATAATACTAATTATAAATTAAGATATAGCTATATTGGATAGGAAATACGTTTTAAATATATATAGATACAAATTTATAGCTATATAAGATGGAAGATATCCCATTAAATTTTTAGTACAATAACTAAAATTTCTTTTGAGAAATTAACTTTGTCCTGATAGAACAACAAAAATATCAATTAATTTTTTTTTTTAACCTTGCTCGTCTTTGATATTAGTTCATTTTTTCTTTGGAAATTTATGGATTCTTGCTTTCTGTTTTTTAATTTTGGCTAATATTGTTATTTTGGCCTAAATTATACTACTACCAAAGTCATGTGACCTTAAGCCGCATTTGCCAGCTGATCATATTATATCGGCTGGCTTAGCCAGCTAAGCTACCTTAGCCATGGCTGCCTCAGCCAGCTTGTAACACTAGTCGCTAAACCAGTAGGAGGTTTGTATAACCACAGATTAGATTACTCAGTATCGAAAAAGGTGTGTTAGATTTAGTAGAACCCGAACAATATATATAGAGGTTACATTAGCTTTAATATAAACATTTTAAAATTTTTATCCACTTTTTATTAGAGCTAATTAACCATATTTTACATATAAGCTTTAATATTTAAAAATTTTAGCCAATTATTAAATATAATATTTTTTTTTTATTTTTATTTGGTTATCCAAATTTTAAATATAACCTATTTAAAACTTACTAATTTTATCCACTTTTAATAATATGGGATCTTTGCTAGGAAAATGACCCTACGAGCCATTGTTACACAAGATTTTTATTAAGAAAAACATAATAAATCTATTTTTAGAAAAAAAAATTCCTAGCAAAGATCCCATATAACATTAAAAGCTTTTATCCACTTTTAAATGTAACCTTTTGGCCAATATCCACTTTTCAAATATAACATCTTTGTAAAAAAGTAACCTTTTTAGCCAAAATTTCAATGTAATCTCTATATATATTGTTCGGGTCCTGATTTAGTCGAGTGGTATAATTTCGGGTCAGAACTTAGGCCTTATATAACTTTAGTGCTGGGCGTAACGAAAGTGTTTTATCAAACGTTAAGCTTGGTAAAGAAGTTTGTAATTTATTAAAAGAAACGACTTGTATGATTTATTGTAGGAAAACGTAAGATTTATGATAAGTAGTCGTATGATTTATGAACAATTATATGATTAATGAAAAGTAATTTGTATGATTAAATGATTAATAAAGCAAAGGCGGGAGTTATTTCTTCCCAGGGCCAAAAGGCCTTTATTTATAATGATTAATTCAGCTAGATCCTCATTATTATTATAATCGGTCTTATAACCACTATCATTAATATCATCGAAAAAGTTCGGATTATACGGATCAGTATTATCAGAGTTATCAAAGGGATCAGGCTGATCATGGCGGGGAGCCCAAATTTGGAAATATCCGGAATCACGAGGGCACGTGCCTGCTTCAGGTCACGTTTCCGGGTTCACAACGTTTTTGAGATATAGCACTCCAGGGCAAGTTAGCAATAGTCAATAAAGTTTAATACTAAACAATTTACAATAGAAAAAATAAAAAAAAACGATGCTAGAGGATTTGTGTTTAAATTATAAACCATAATAATAAAAATTAAATAGTTGCCAATTCAAAATAATTAGCCTAGATTTTGTTATTCACAAAAAATGTATATCACACCTTTTTTTTAGTTCAACTATCTTACGAAGGAATTTACTCTGATCATGGTTCGAAATTCATAATTCTGCCTGTAATTCATTTATCAATTCAACAATTACAGGTTAATCAACAGCGAAGGATGATTAATTTAATTTGAAAGTGGCAATAACGAAAATTTAATAATTATAGCATTGTTCAAAAAATTTGATTGGTTGAGTTTGACATCATTGACCAAAAATATTGGGCTTTGGGATCAATTAAGTAGAGATCCCCACTCCTAAATCCAATCTATGTAGTGATGCCATAACTCAAAAAAACACTATAATTAAGAAGTGAAACCCGGAGGAGAAGTTCTCATTGTAACTTTTGTAAATTTGGGCACTTTATGCAAACCTTTCCTGTAACCTTTATGATTTTTGCTAAAAACCGTGTATTTATCTCTTGGTTTCATTTCTGATTCTTTTGGTAATTGGAGCGCAAGTGTCTTGGTAAATTGTTCATAGTGGATTATGTGAAATTAAATAAGGAAAAAAGACAAAATAAACTACAATATTAATTTGTTGGATTACCAAAGCTTTACATTTAACGCCTGATTCCGCGACAGCTGCGATAACTTTATCAACGGCTTTCAATCTCTTACGAACATTCGCTTTACGCGTTTTATTCATTTTCGCAGGCATTTTCCTAATAAAGCACACGTAATTTTATGTTAAATTTTTTTAAATGTAATACCTTTGAATGATGAAAGGATCCAACCATAACAAGCCTCCGCAGGCAATAATGGTAGCCCTAAAAGCGCCAAACATTATTTACAGAAAGATTACATGCAAAGGATGCAAATATAAGGGTAGAATCGCCTCCCAAAAAATTTCAAACTATTTCGAAATAAAATTTCGTGCTCTTAGGTTAGGGTTAGGATCTTGCCCCTAGGTGAGAGTTAGAAGGTGCTATATACCAAAGTTTTACAAGGAAATTTTTATTAATTTTTGAGAACGGTTTTCTGATCGTGCTACGTTACACGTGATCTTGAAATTTGATTGGTCAGCGAAATTTTTTAGTGCCACTGAAAATCTGCGATAGCATAAAGAGGTCATAGGAAGACATTCATATGATTGGTTAATTTTGTCGATCTACCCGTGATTGCCCGTGATAATTAACCAATCAAAT